ACATGAATCAAATATGCACTTTTATTCATTTACAATAAACTCATAAAGTACATCATTCTGATTGAAGCTAAGGGCATACAAAACTGTCCAACACTGGTACCTACAAGGCATAAGTTAGAAAGGAAAAGCAATTGGTTGAAATTACTTGTCAAAAAAAAATTAATTGGTTGAAACCCTTTGCAATTTTTTGGTGCATTTAGTCTGAGAGAAATACCTTTATTTGTGACAACAGATCATGCTTGGATCAAATTCTTTGCAATAGAGTCAAAGGAACAGTGTATTTGTGGCTAGCGATAGGCAAGACTTTCAGGGGAGTTCCTTAGGCTTCATTTGGGAAGAGTGCAAATACAAGGTTTACAAATACTGTATACAAGGTTTTGCACTGAACATATTTGTATTTGCACTCTTCCCAACTGAGCATTGTATTTTGTTTTTTGAACAGAATGCATTGTCAATGTCACACTAACATACTGAACTACACTTTTTGTCAAGGTTCTAAATATCGATACAGGCTGATACACCCAAACCGGCCTATTGGCCTGTATCGAGCTGCACCTTTACTATTTTTTTTTTTAGTTTTTTTTTTCAAACTGGTTCAGGGGGGTCGGTTTAAGGCCCACCTACCCCCTGAACCAGGTCAGACCCTGAAACACCCACTGTAGGGGCGTATCAGGGGGTCACCGATACGATACGTATTGGCTGATATGCCTCAATACGTTTCGATATTTAGAACCTTGCTTTTTGTATATTATCATTGTACAGTTCCCTGGCATACATGGGTGCTGATGTGCTTTCATCTATATCAGTACAATGGTGCATTACATTTCAAAAAAAAAAAGGAAGAAAACATCACTGTGTTCAGTTTGGTTATAATGAAGTTGGAAAATCTTCCCTTTGTTGATGAATCTGGAAGATGATTGTATTTATGTCAAAGGCTAGGTTCTTTTAGGGAAATCAGCAGAAAACTTCCTATAAGGTGCTAGCACGAGCAATCCATTCGTTTTGAAAGTAAAAGCCAATAGACAAGGCTTTCATTCAATAATAAAAAAGGTTGGCTCACTATGCTTTGAGAAGACCTGTCAATAAGGGGATGGTATACATTTTTTTTCTTTAAATTAGATGCGTTTGAGATAATGAATTTGTAATTCATTTCATAAAACTATGTTGAAGTTTCTACTCTAGTGCTAGGTGATTGTTTTCTAAGAATTCATCAATGCTCTTTGGTAGGATATTGGGGTTTGTATCTTCTTGGTGTCCAATTGGGAAACTATCTTTTCTTTGGCAACGATTTCACTGGGAAGATGAGAAACAGTCAGTGGACACGGACAAGAATCTGGATTCTATCTGTTATCTTTTGGTATCCCTTCTGGTGGAACTTTAAACATAAGTGATTCAATTCAACATTATGTGCTTTGGAACTGAGAATGACTGTTTATATCCTGTTTATTTGCAATTCTGTTGTAGGCTATCAACTATCATCCTAGACAAGCACATTGAAAGAGTTTCTCGTAGAATGGTAATTGATAAACACTCTTATTAAAATTGTAACCATAGCTGTTACCATCAAATAATTGCAACTCTTTGGAACTTTGGTGCAGTGCAACCTGGCATATGTTACGTTTGTATTGGCACAAAACTTTCAGGTAATTCTCATTTTTTCTTCCACTAAAGTAAATAGTAATGGAAATTCACTAAAGTAGCTTTCTTATTATTAATAGAAAGTCACTACATATTTATTGTAAATCAAAACTGCTGAGTTTTGGGCTGATATAACATGTTTTTTATTTACATAGTGTTGACAGGTGTATTATATGTACTGTACGCAGGTTTAGTGCCCGCAGGGGTACTTTTGTAATTTTGTAGACCTCTTGTGTTGTACGGCCAGTATAGTATAAATACAAATGCTTCACTCGACTGAAGCTGTTCTTTTGAGGCCTTAACTCAGTAGCCTCTTCTTCTTCTTCTTCTTCTTCTTCTTCTTCTTCCTTTCCTTTCTTCTTCTCCTGCTCAACATGGTATCAGAGCAGGACCGTCCAAGCCTGGAAAACAACCAGCTGAGGTCTCTCTCCATTGTTGCGTAGAAGCTATAGTTCTGATGCTCGAAGACAAGGAAGAGGAAGCTATAGTCCTGCTGAGTAGGGTTCTGCTACAAGAAAGCTGACTGTTCAACTTCCTAGCGCAGAAAAAGGTTCTGCTTCAAGTTTTTTCTTCTTCATCCTTCATCCTTCAGCCAAGGTGCTGGTAATTGGAGTTGCTCGGCTAAGAAGCCTATAGAAAACCATCCTAGATGTATGAAGGAGGGTTCTGACCTGAAGAGAAGTTTGAGTCCATGACTGTACTGCCTATTCACAGTTCGGGTGACCTAGGTACTGAACTGAATTTTTTCCTGTTTGTGGTTCTCTTCTTGCCTCCTTCGATGGACTGTTAATGTCCCAAAATCTGAGTAGGGTCTGTCCCTCTTCCTCCGATTGTGTGTTGCTCTATTCAGCTCCCTAAGGGACTGTTGATGAACCCTAAACCCTAAGTGACTGTTCGGCTGCCCTGGAAAGTGGATATCAGCCGATTAGGTGTGGTGAACCACCACTCGTATTGCTGTTTCTACTTAGTTTTTTTTTTTTTCAGCTGAGAAGCTGCATTAAAGTTGTAAAACTGTAGGTCATTCAGACCTGGTTACACTGCAAGTGCAGTTCGTATATTGTTCTGTGGACTCCTACACAGTGTAGG